CTAAGAAAATAATTGGTTTATGTCACTATTTCATTAATGTGTATATCTTGCCATAGTGGTCATTATCATAGTTCACAGTGATCAGAGCTAGATGACTGCTGACCCCACATGCATGCATACGCATGTGCGCACACATACACACACACCAGAAGTCTGGATAGCCCCTTCCAGTACTAAGACATAAGTAAGGGAGAAATCCATAGAAAGCAAGCCATTAAACAGTACAAATTCAGTTCCTGCCTCCACATTCCTGCTTGTGGTCCTGCCCCACTTCCCTCAATAATGGACAGTGATATGGAAGTATAAACCAAATAAACCCTTCCCTTCCTAAGTTGCTTTTGGTCATAGTGTTTTATCGTAGCAATAGAACACTAAACAGTCACCAAGAGCAATAACAAACAATAGCCTGTATTATTTTGGGTATGTCCAGTACACCTTTGACCAAAAACTAGAGGGGAGGTATCCCACACCAGGAACTAGGCTTTTTATTTGCCAACCTATGGCTCTAAGAGGAGCATTATTCCATTTATAGGGTAATGTCAGTTAAATTCTCTTGTATGTATGTAAGATTTATAAAGTAGAATTTTGTATGGATATTTCAAACATTCTGAATGTTATTTAGCCTTGCCCTAACCCCTATCCTAGCCAAGTCTCCACCCCTTTCCCAACTTAAACCTCCCTTCCATTATTCTTCCTTTCCCATTCATATAATCAATGTTCTACTGTCTCCCCACCCCTACAATTATTCTTTCTCCTCCCTACCCATGTTCCCTTTCTAATTTTCTAGATTCTACATATACTTCAAACTGAACATACAAATCTAAACATTTGACACTAGGATTGACATATAAACTAGAACACTTTACATTTTTCTTCCTGTGTATGAGTAAATTCACCCAGTATGTTCTCCAGCTAAATTCATTTTATTGGAAGAGTTTGTAATTTCATTTTTCTTTAATGCTCACTAAAATTCCATTGGGAACCATGTTTTTATTATCCATTCATCAATTGATGGACATCTACGCTTTTTACATGCCCTAGCTATTGTGGAATAGAGCAGCAATGAACATGGATGAGCAAGTAGCTCTATAGTAAGATATAGAGTCCTGTGGGCATATGCCAAGGAGTGGTACAGCTGAGTCATATGATAGATCTATTTCTAGTTTTTTTGAGAAACAGTCACACTGGTTTCCACAGTGGCTGCACCAGTTTGCACTCCCACCAACAGTGAATAAGTGTTCCCTTTCCCCACATCCAACCTGAATTTAATGTCTTTTGTTTTGTTTTTTATAGTCTTGGCTATTCTAACTAGAGTGAAATGAAATCTCAATGTAGTTTCAATTTCCTTTTCCTTGATTGCTATGGACAGTAAAAACTTAAAAATATTTTGTAGTCATTTGCACTTTTTCATCAGAAAATGCTCTGTTGAGTTTCACAGCCCACTTTTAAGTTGGGTTATCATTTTCTCAGTGTTCTGTTGGGTCTCGTTATTGTTGTTCTTTGTATATTCTAGACACTAATCCTCTCTCAAATGTACAACTGCCAAAGTTTTTTTTTCCCCAACTTATAGGTTGAATATTCAGCTGATTGACAGTTTCCATTGCAGTACAACTTTTTAATTTCATGAAGTTCTGCTTATTGATGGTTGGTCCTATTTCCCAGGTTACCAGGGTCCTATTCCACAAGTCATTCCACAAGTCTATATCCTGAAATATACTCCATACTCTCATCTAAAAATTCCTAGAGCTGTAAACACTTTCATCAAAGTGACTGGCTACAAAATTAACATACCCAAATCAGTGCCCTTTCTATATACTAAAGACATGCAGACTGAGAAAGGAATCAGGCAAACAATCCCATTTACAATAGCCTCAAAAACAACGTAACTTGGAATAAACATAACCAAGGAACTGAAACACAGTGAAAATTTGGAGACAATGGAAAGATAAATGAAGCAGACACCAGAAGATGGAGAGATCTCTCATACACATAATTAGTAGGATTAATAATGTAAGAATGGCCATGCTACCAAAAGCAACACAGAGATGCAGTGCAATCCCCATGAAAAATTCTAATGCAATTCTTGACTGAACTGAAAAAAAACTTAAATTTCGTATAGAAGCACAAAAGACTCTATATAACCAAGACAATTCTGAAAAAATAAAACCTCTTCTGGAGGTATCACCATTCCTGAGTTCAAGGCACACAGAGCCATTGTACTGAAAACACAATGATACTGGGACAAAAATAGACACATTGGTCCATGGAATAGAATTGAAAGTCCAGATACAATCTGGGGACCCTTGTCTTATTCTTAGTTTTGAGAGAAATGACTCTGCTAAAGAATTATATTTTCTGTAAGTAATTTTAGTACTCATTAATAGATTAAAGAATTTTCTTCTACTTATAATTTGATACATTTTAAACAAATGGAATAATAAGTGTTTATTATTAAACATTATTATTATTAAATTGAAAATAAGTGTTTATTTGATGTTTTGAAATCATGTGGCTTTAAACATATTAATATCAAAAGGTATACAAATGGACTGAATTTCTAGCAAAACTAAGCAAACTTACTTTTGATGTATTATTTTTTGTATAACTGTTTTGACTGATACCTTTACATTTATCAGTAAAATTGCTTTATTTGCATTTTGGTTCATAAAATGGAATTAGAGAGCAGATTTTCCTTTTGAATTCTGTGGATTTTCATGACATTGGAAATATTTTTGTTTCTTAAAATGCTGTAGAATTTGCTGACATAGCATTTGAGCCTCATATTTTCTGGTGTGAAGAAACTTGCAAAATTCTATAAGGTTTAAATAATGCACTTAATACAACTGACTGTGGAGAAGATACATAGTAAAACCCTTCTCAAAACTAGGTAGACTGGCCTTCTTAAGCCAACATAGAACTCAGAAAAACTTAAAATGCTCTAGTCAAAATACCAAGACTTACTGTCAAAGAAACATATATACATAAGAAAATCGATAAAATAGCCAATTATTAATAGCTAATTAGCTGCATATCCTTTTAAGAAATGAGACAGCTATGCTAATTTCTACTGTGTGATGCTAGAGTTAGCACTGCTAATCTGTAGTTCTGATTATTTTTTGAGATAAGCTCTTATTGTATGTTGAAGCTGCTCTCAGATGGCCAAGCCTCCTACCCCAGTCTACCAAGTGTCTGCATCTCAGGCATCCACCAGCTCACAATTGTATGTTAAGTAGTTTTAACTTGTGTTTTAAGATTGTTTTAGATAATACATACATGTTTAGAATAGCTATGCCTTCCTAATTAATTGAGACTTCCATTTCTGTTTAAGGAAATTTTTATCCTTAATTTTTTGTTATTTTTATTTAATGTCTTTTTTATGTTATTTCACTTATTTTATCTGTAAATATCCATATGCATGAACCACACAGCTGTGTTTTAAAATGCAAAACTGAGTGTAATGCAAAACTGCATACTGAGTGTAAAAATAGACTTTTGTTAGTCAGGTATCTTTTTTTAAAAAAAAAAAAAACAACTTCCTCTTTCTTGCTCATTTTTATTTCTTTCTTTATTTCATATATTAATTTTATATCCTGCACCTGTTATTCTTCTATCTAATAATTGGATATTAAGTCTAATGCATTGTTTGTTGACTTTTGTTATTTCTCACCTCTGGTGGTTTGTGCGTTCCTACTAATTTATCTTGAATTGGTAACTTGTGGGGACAGTGCTACTGGCTATGACAGCAGCATTCATCTTTATTACTCTGATTCTTAGATATAATGTGACCACCCACCTGTGTTCCTGCTGCATCCCTTCCTTGCCATGATAGAGTATATCCCTTAGAACTATAAGCTGAAATCAACACTTTCTAAATAAAGTTTCTTCTTGTTGGGTATTTAGTTACAGTAATTGTAAGATGAATTTCTAAACGGTCTTATTAATAAAAAGCCTGGTGCCAGATAGGGTTAAACTGAGAGGTCAGAAAAGCAGAAAGAAGCCAGCCACATTTTTCAAAATCCTCAGTCAAAAAGACCTACTTCCTGTATACCCATGCCTATATGCCTTTCTGTTCTGCATCTCACTTTCTCTCTCCACCCAGCTACATCATTTCCTGTCTATCTGTACAGACCTCCAGACCTCTATGGTTAGTGCTGGGATTAAAAGCATGGGTCAGCATGCCTGGATCAGTTCCCCAGTGTGGCCTTGAACTCACAGAGATCTGGATGGGTCTCTGCCTCCTGAATGCTAGGATTAAAGGCATGTGCTACCATTGCCTGGCTTCTGTGTTTAATATAGTAGCTGACTTTTTTCTCTGATCCTCAGATAAGCTTTATTAGGGTGCACAATATATTGTGGAACACTATATCACCACAAGCAATGAGTAAAGTAATTAATACACTAGCCATATTTTCCACAGTGGAGGATTCATTTTTGCTGAGAGTCAGGAGGTAGTCCTAGTCTGGGACAGCCTCAAACTTTCAGCAAGCCACAGTCTTGATCTATTAATTTCATGCTACACTTTTCTAAATAGCTCTCATGGTCATGTGCTCATGAAATCTAGTGATAAGCAGAATGTAGATGTCGAACATTAAGGTGTTCTAATGACTGATGCTCCCTTTAAACTCGTATTGAAGGTCTACAACCCCAGTATGACTTTTTGAGAGGAGCTAAGACATTAGAAGGCCCTTAAGGTGAAAGGAAGTCATAAGAGTGTGTGGATTAGAAAAAGATGGTGCTTAACACCCCGTTCTGTTCCCCTCCTCCCCTTTGTATTAGAATTATCAGATAGAGCAGTTAGACATATAGAAAGATGTTGACTGCTTGCTGGTCAAGAGACTAGTTCTTGAAATGAAATCTACCTAGCTAGTCCTTCATCTTGGATATATAAGTTTCCAGGATTGTGAGATATAAGTTTTGCTATTTAAAATAATAAGTCCGTAATATTTTATTGTGGCTGCTCATACTGACTAGGATGTTTTGTTTTGTTTGTGTATTCACAGGAAAAAAAATAACAAAAAACAAACCTCACGGAACCTTCTCAAGCACAAACAATGCTTGCCTCCTGCTGGTTGTCATAAAAGATCTTGACTCAGATCTTCTCTGTATTCTGGCAGATTATTATATCACTTTAAAAATCTGAAACACTTGCATGATAGTTTTCCATTCCAGTGCCATGAACTGTCTTGTAAGCATTCTTTCCACTTGAAATTTGCAGATGTCACTTCCCCTCTACATGACCCTGTTTCCCTGGCACCTACTCTCCCTGTCTACGTTGATAAATTCACCTTCACTGAGTTCCTTGGGCTTCACATTCAGGATCTCTCACAGCTTGCTGACGTTCACACTCCTCTAGAAAGGATTTCCTTTCTAGTTTCATATATATTGTTTGAATTTCACTTCCAGTGTTTTTCCTTTTCATTTCCCTCCTTTACTGTTAGCTTTATTGACTGAGTGGCTCCTCTGACTATTACCTAGAAAATGGATAATTTTATCCATTTCTATAAAATGTCACTCAGCTCTATCAATGAGAGACAAACGGCAACAGGTTACCTGCACCCCGTTGTCTGCACATACTTTTAATACCAAGCACACTGTGACCAATCACCAAGAGGCTGTGAGAGAAGTGACGCGATTGGTTAATATACAGTTTGCAGCTGTTGTTTATGTCATCACTAATCAGGAAAAAGGATTGGGCTAAATGTGATGACAGCAGCTTTTCTGTGGCTACTGGACTATGGACCATGCTGGTGGAGATGTGATGACAGCAGCTTTTCTGTGGCTACTGGACTATGGACCATGCTGGTGGAGATGTGATGACAGCAGCTTTTCTGTGGCTACTGGACTATGGACCATGCTGGTGAAGATGTGATGACAGCAGCTCTCCTGTAGCTACTAGACTATGGACCATGCTGGTGGAGATGTGATGACAGCAGCTTTTCTGTGGCTACTGGACTAAGGACCGTGCTGGTGGAGGGCTCCTGTTATTAGCCAGCATGTGATCACTGATAACTGGAAGTTGGTCACATGCAAAGCAAAGACTACCTGCACTGTAATGTTTTAATCTGTAACATCCAGATAGTCTAAAAGATGGCATTTTCAACCAAGGGGCTGAGGCAGGAGAAATCCAATTTGAGGCCATCCTGGACTATATAGGAGAAGGCTGTCTCATAAAGAGAGAGAAAAAAAGGTAGAATTTCTATTACTTTACAGCTTTAAACTGTATTATTAAATTTTGGAAAAAATTACTTATTCTAACCCTTTCAAATCTCCATGTTATCCTTTATAAATCATAGCTACCAATAGCATTTAATCAAAATTATTGTTTTTGCCTTCTAGCTATCATTGGCTATTACCCTACTCCTATTAATATGCTTTCCTTATCAGCATATAATAAATATCCAGCCAATGATAGTACCAAGAAATGGATATAATATAAATGTTCCTCAACTGGTGGATGCATAAAGCTATATATGTATGATATGTATATAACTATATATGCTATATATAACATATATAATGAATACTATTCAGCCATAGGACGAATGAAATTCTGTCATTTATGACAACCTGGATGGAAGTGGAGTGACAAGCTGCTCAGTTAAAAAAAAAGGCATAGAAAACCAAACACCCCCTTTATTTCATTCATATGGAAAATTTTAAAAATTGATATTCTAGAAGCTGTGAACAGAGTGGAAGAGTGGATACTAGAGGGTGGGAAGGTTAGGAGTGGGTAGGGAAAGGTTAGTTACATTGTAAACATGACCAGAAGTTCTGACATGTCACTGTTCAATAGGATCATGACAAATCATCCCACAGTATATTCAAAGGAGCTTGAAGAGAAGGTATGAAGTATTTCTACCAGAAATATGTGTGACTGTGAAGACATTGATATACCTACTGACTTGAAAATTTAACACTGTGTACAGGTATCAAAATACCACACAGTAACCTATAAATATGTATAACTTCATGTGCCAATTGAAAAACTGAAAAGAAAAAGAGAAAATTTACACTGACTCTTTCCTTTTACTTAGGGATGTTTTTTTTTCCCCCATATCATTTGGTAAAGGGTTTTCTGATTTCACCCAAAGATGGCTTACATATTTAACTACGTCTCCCACTAGTTGCTGCTATTCGCCCATAAAACTGAAATATACTGTTCAGGAAAATTATAACCTGCATATGAATATGATATCACTTTTCATGTGGCTTATCTTTAATGAATAGTTAAAATAATTAGTGGTTAAACTGTGAATGTCTTAATACTTCTCCAAACCTTCCCCTAAGTTCAACAGAAATGGACCTACCCTTATAATCAAATCAAAATGATTAGTGTTATCCAAAAATGACTCTAGCTTTAATTGACACAGGCTTTGCCTTGTAACACAATACTTACAACTAATGGGAGGCACTATGTTTTAAAGTCATACTGCTGCTGGCATCGTAGAATGACACTGTCTTCTAATAACTTCTTACTCTGGCATTCATTATATATTAATAATTTAGTTGAACAAATCATTAGAATGCTATTATTGATGGAAAAAAATCACAGTTCCCAAACCAGATACTGATAAAAATTTCAATTGTCCAAAAATTACATTCTCTGAACAGACTATAATTTGAGAGAGAGTTCCTATTTTGGAATGGAAAGGAAGTATTTGAATACATAGACTGATTCTTTGAGCCAAGCACTAAGCAAACAAAGACACAGGTATTTCTTCCACATAAAATTATGACAGAGGATGGCACACAAGGGTGCTTTGGGAAAAAAAGTTCTAACTGTAATTGGACCTTGATCATACTTGATAAAGGAAGCCAAGTCACTGGATACAACAGAAAAAAAATTGTTTGGCATAAAAACTATTTTTAAGTTAAGGAAGGCACATAGGTTATGCATTTCTAATGCAATAAAATAATGAGAGAAAAGGGCCAAAGAATAAACACAAATCACCTGCCATCATTTAATAAGTTACAGTTTCACTCATGAAGTTGAATTTGGAATAACTTTATTAAGAACAGCATTTCCCTATAATCAAAAGGAGTTTATTTTAATAATTATCTCAGTGGGGTTGTTAACCTGAAAGTCTGAGGTTACATATCCTTGTCAAAGGAAATTTCAATCTTTGCAATTATTTCAGAAAAGAGAACAAAGTTCACTAAAGTTATAAGGTGTAAAATACAAAGTAGTAGGAACTTTACTTGTGATGTGAGTTGGTAGCCATTTTTTAACTACAAATATACACAATCCAGCCCTCCAATCTCTATTCTTAGGTATGTTCACAGTAGAAGTGTAGTGTGTGTGTGTATGAAAACATGTATTAGTGTGTTCATAGCAGAAGTATTGATAAAAGCCTCTCACTGGAAGATTCCTAAAGGCTCATCCCAACAGAATGGACCAACCGTGGTACTTACTGGTAAAGAGATCAAACCAACGGCAATGACACACAGTCTCATAGAGTAATCTTTTGAATTTCATGCTGAATAAAATATGTCAGACACATTAAAAATAGACCATAAAATCATTCCATTATACTGAAAAAATGTAGTTCAAAGTAATTTTTACATCCAAATAAGGGTAGAGCAGATGGCTCAATGGATAAAAATACTTGTCTTGCAAGCTTAGCACCCTGAGCTTGACCCCCAGAATCTAACTAGAATGCCACATGCAGTAGCATACATCTGTAATTGTAGAGCTTCCATGGGGAATTAGTCAGTACAAAACCCACAAGAGAGCCCCTGCCTCAAAAGCAGAGTAGGGCAGCTGGAAAGAGTGCTCAGGACTTAAGAGAAGTAGCTGGCTACTCCTTCAAACGTTCTAAGTTCAGTTCCCAACACTCACATCAAGGCTCACAATTGCCTATAAATCCAGCTTTAGAGGATCTGATGTACTCTTCTCATCTTTGTGTCACACACACACACACACACACACACACACACACACACACACACACACACTTTTCTTTAAAAAAAAAAAAAGGGAAGAAAAAAAGATGAAAAGGTGAAGTTGGATTCCTGAAAGTTGTTCTCTGACCCCCACAAGTAGATCATAGTAATACATACACACATGTACATACATTATATATACATTCTGGCCCCCAACAAGATCATAATAATACATACACACAAATGTACACACATCATGTAGACATTCTGACCCCCACAAGTAGATCATGAGTACACAAACATACATATACACACATTATGCAGACATATATATCATACATACATACCACTCATACACACATATGCATAGATTATACATGCACATATACCATACACATATGAATACCATTCACAAGTGTGTGCATACACATACACACACACACAATATAATTAGTGGTTAGTGTGGGTCCAGAGAGCCTGTGTCTAGAAAGGAAGGACCTTATAAATAAAGTGCTTGCTATGAATGAGTTGGGTCCATTTTGACTTCAGTAAGAATAGTTTGAGCTCTCTACTTTGCATACCTAATTCTCCATGTATTACATTTCAATAAAAATTTAACATCAAAATTATATAAAAACACAAAGCAAAGTCCACTCCTACAAAACACCATGGTAGGAATATTGTCATGATAATGTCACTTTTTCATGTTTAACTAATCCACCTGAAGAGTACAAAATAAATATTTTATATCCCACTTTAGAAATATGTTTTACTACAGACACATTTAAGCCACCAGAGAATACACCATTATTAAATGGATTTGGATCCAAATGTGTTTCTGAGTCAGAATTTGGTTCTTAAAATAAAAATTAATGAGAGTCAAATCTATTCACTGCCTGGGTCAAGTTTCTTTCCAGCTCACTGACACTCAGTCTCCTGTTTTCCACCATGGCCCCTCGAGACTGGATCCCACCCTGAAGGTGTGGTCAGGCCAGTGAAATTCCAGTTCCCCAACTGATTGCTGCTCTAGTCCTCAGGGTTCACTTTTTTTTTTTTTTTTTTTTTTTTTTTTTTTGAGAAGCGTTTCTCTGCGTAACTTTTAGAGCTTTTCTTGGAACTCACTCTGTAGCCTAGGCTGGTCTCGAACTCACAAAGATCCACATGCCTCTGCCTCCTGAGTGCTGGGATTAAAGGCATGTGCCACCACTGCCCGGCCTCAGGGTTCACTTTTAAACAATGGATTCCCTCTCAAGATGACACATAACTACTGCTGTCCATCTAAGTCACACAGAATGGCAAAATGGGATCCCTCTCTCCGCTTCTGGACTATCCACCAGCAGAAAAACTGTCTCAGCCAAACCTGAAGCTGGAGCTGTGGGTTCTGAGGGCTGTGAACTTGACCTGAGGGTATAACTGCTGTGGCCACCAGGCTCACCTTTGGGGTGAGGCTTTTCTTTCCCTCCTTCTGCCGTCATCCGCATGGGCGGAACTGGGCTCTATTGGCTATTTCTCTGTCTTTCTTTTCCTGAGTACTTCGTCACTATTCCATCTCCTTTTCAATTTTCTAAAGCTCTTCTCTCTTTGAAGTAGTCTATTCTTGCTTATACCGACTCTTTCTTACTCAGGTGTGGTCCTTTGGATGAGAAATGTCCCACATAGGTTTGTGTATTTGAATACTTGATGCCAAGCTGCTGGTGCTGTTTGCCAAGGTTATGGAATCTTTATGAGGTGTGTGTGTGTGGAGGGAGGGAGGGAGAGGGAGGGAGGGAGGGAGGGAGGGAGGGAGGGAGGGAGGGAGAGAGAGAGAGAGAGAGAGAGAGAGAGAGAGAGAGAGAGAGAGAGAGAGAGAATGAATTCGCATAAGCCTAGAGTTGGCTGCATAAAAACGCTTCTGATTGACTCACACCGGGTTTCCCTGTGTCTTTTATCACAGTTCTCTAATGGAGCTCCAGAATGAAAGAGGTAGTTGAACCTCCATTACCAGCCTATTCTAGTCATTTCTCTGTCGCATCATAAGTAATTGCTTAACTAACATCTGTGTAAGAGATTTTGGCCAAAACAATGGAGTAAGTACCTCATTCCAAACTTAGTACATAATTAGACACTTAATTAGCAAATTACCTTAAAATAATAGCATAATACTGTGTATAGTTACACAGGGAGTTCACTTTAATCTCCCTCTTAAATTTAAATATGTAATAATGAACATATACTGACAAATTATCATATCTCGGAACCTATTCTAAAATCAGTGTCATCGCTAGGACCTTAGCTATACCCCCTCAGGTATGTTATGTTATGCCTTGTATGGACATTGTACCTGTATGGAAAAACTGAATTTATGGGTAGGCATGTACCTTTACTCCATTTGCTCCTTTCTTTTCATGTTACAGCTGAAGTCCTGTATCAATGTGTGCAGATTTGAAGAAGAGACCTAACATGAGGTGTTCCCATATCAGGGTACACAAAGGGTCATGTAGCTGAGTTATTGTGATGGTCAGTCCTCCCATGTCTGCAAGATTTAGAAAGATGAAAAATCCGGATTTTTCTATTCAAGCTTCAATATTTTCATGTGTGTTTTTGTTTTCTTTTCACTGGGAAGAGAGAGGCGGTGTCACAACCAAAGGTTGGATTCTTTTGTTGCCACAAACATGTGGCTAGAATCACCTTAGGGGAGAAATGAGTTAGTGTCAGCTTACAGGTTATAGGCCATTGTTGAGGAAACTCATGGGAGGAATACAAGTGGGAACTTGAGCAGAAACCGTGGAGGAATGCTGCTTGCTGGCCTGATAACAAGCTCATGCTTAGGTATCTTCCTTATACATCCCAGTACCTCCTGCCAGGGAATAGTGATGCCCACAATGAGCTGGGCCTTTCTACATCAAGACAATGCCACCACAGACATGTCCACAGGTCAATCTGATCTAAGCAACCATTCCTTTATCAGGTGACTCCAGGTGAAGTCATGTTGACAATTAAGACTAACAAGGACACACAGTATGAATACTAGGGAGTTAGGGACATTAAAGACCCCCCCCCTTTTTTTTAATCAACATCTGATGAATCTATACCATATTGTTAGCCTTTCAGTAGAAAATAATTTAAGTCAAAAAATCAGCTCCCAGAGGCTGGAGAGATGATTCAGTGGTTAAGAGCACATGCTGATCTCCCAGAGGATCCAAGTTCCAGTTCTCAGCACCCATATTGGGTGGCTCACAACCTCACAACCACCTATAACTCCAGCCCCAAGGAATCCTGCTCCAGGAGATCTAATGCCTTTGGCTTCCATAGTTACCTGGCTCTGCACACATGTACACAAGTACACACACACACACACACACACACACACACACACACACACACTTTAAAATAAATTTAAAAAGAAAGCCAGCCCCCAGGACAGAAAGATTGAACTTCAATTTCAATCACAGTTTCTAAAAGTCTTAAATCTTTGTTTTTAAAAGTATTTAATTGTATTAGTGATATCAGCCCTTATTTGTTTTTGAGGAATACCTTGCATTAGGAATCATTTTACATCCTTAAAAAAAAAACTTAGACCCAACAACAAAATGCTGAGAAAAACACTTATGCTTCCAAATGTTAGAATGTCTGCTTTACAGATGCAAAGCCCAGATAATCTGGTCATTCAGGGATTGATGCTACCAATAGGAGTTGTTTGGTGTTCCAGGACCAGAAGTCAAGTGTATACAACTATGGGCTTGGTGTCCCCCAAAGGAACACTTACAACCTCATGCTGACACCATGGACCTCCCCAAATCAGCCTTAAAAGAAGTCCATCACAAATGCAGAGAAATCACTTGCAGCATTCAGTACCAAGAAAAAAAAAAGTCAGAGTGGGATTCTGAAATTCTTGAACCTGATGTCAGTTTATTATGTATTGAACAAATACAGCTTTGGGCTGGTGGTTTTATATTATATTCCAGGTTTCTTCCTCCTCCTTATGACTTCAGCTAAGTCCTCAAGATGTGGCGTCTATACAATTGTAACGAGTTATTATAAGAAATTGAATCTGCAGCTCTCTTTTAAATAATCAGATTAAATTCAGGGTACATTTCCTATCATAAGAATTTCAAAGCGCTTAAAATCTGGGACAGATTTTTTTTTCCGAGATGTTACAGGAACTAACGTGGGAGGAAGAAAGAGAGGAGGCAGCGGAAGTGAAGGAAAAGGAGGAAAAAGTGGTGGGGGAGGTAGAGGGGGTGGAAGAAGGAAGGATGGAGGGGTGGAGGGGGCAGTCAAGAAAGCCTGCTCAGAGAAGTCATGTTGCCATGAGGAAGCAATCCTATTAAGGAGTTTGGCTTGCTGAAGAGCTAGATGCATTTTTTTCTCTGGACTTTAACTTGGAAGATGACAGTGTTTTATCACACATAAAGCAACGAACTTTCTTAGAATACCAACAAGTGGGATTCAAAGAATTATGTTCTGAGGACATAATGATCACTACAAAAATAAACAAAAAACTTCTGGTTTATTTCTCACTGGAAGAGAGCCCACAAAACACGGGGCTTTTTCAAAAGAGAAATCTGATGTAGAAAGAAGCTCCATCTAAGGAAACCAAGAGCTTGAACATCCGGGAAGGTGGGAGTAGGAAACTGTTCACGCTATTTTTTTCTCCTCTATTATATTTTCTCTTCCTGATAATTTTGGGAATAGCATCATGTCCCAAATTCCTCCTGCTACTGCCAATGTGCTGAACTTCCTGTTCCTGTGTGGCAGGAATCCATCAATCCTTAATCTTTTCATTATTAATTCTATTCCTCAATATAGGTCACTTGAGTCTAAAGTACTCAGTTACAGATAAAATATAACTCTCTACTAGAGGGACATATTTTTATCTCCACATTCAAAGAGTTGCCTATTCCACATGTCAAGTGTTAATGGGGTGACACTCGTAACTCTTCAGGAGGATGCCATAATTTAGAACTCTACTTTCCCTTTGGGAATTAGACAGAAGTCCCATGAACATAAAATGAGAATTATGTGACTTAAAGGAGGCAAGATCAGACCCTTTAGCTTAATATAACGATGTAAATTGTGATTCCTACACAATGTGGAAGTCTCCTCTGAAACCAGACCAACACTTATGGAAATGTCATTATAACCCCCACAGCTGTTCCTACACCCCCAATGAGTGCAGGGTAGATTAGGATAAACTCCCCATCCCATCTATATGCTGAGAATCTCAGTGAGCTTCCTTACTCTTTTTTGTATTTATTTCACTTATTTTTTCTGCGGTGCTCTGTCACTGAACCATGCTGTTCCCCTGTTCTTAATTCTAACCAATGGCTTACTCTAGTTTTAATAAGAGATAATCACTTTATCAGAGTGTCATTGACTATAAGTAATAAACACATTATAATTAAATTTATGGCCACTTGAAGAAGGGTCCTGTAAAGCATCTACCTCAAAACCTGACCTGACTGTAAGTCACCATACATATGGACTATTTCATTTATTTTGCAAGATTGATATATAAAGTTGTGTATCCATTGGGTATTTAGCAAAGACCACAACACTTAAACAGTGCTGATGAAAATTAATATAAATTGCTGAATAATCCAGTAAAAATCTTACCCAAGTGGCACATTGTAGATATTATTTAAAAAATTTTTAAAAATTGATGTTTTTCCTAACATGTTACATAATTTTTTAAAAATCCTATTCTATTATCCATATAATCTGTGAGAAGAAAACAACACCAAGCTCAGTCCACAGATGAGTGTGTAAAGTTGCTTAAATACTTTGTAATAATGGCTCACCAGATGAAGAAACTTTTCTGGGCTAAGTGATAGATCAATCAGTAAGTGCTTGCCTTGCAGTCATGGGGCCCTTTTTTTGAACTCCTAGAATTGACATTAGTTTTTTAAAAAAAAAAAACTGGGATACTGGCACACGCTTGTAATCCCAGTCCTAATTCCTGACAGGTAGAAACAGGTAGATTCCTTGGTCTTACTGGCCTGGTCCACCATCGCAGTCTACTCAAAGAAATCCAGACTAGTCAGGATCTTTAGCAGGGAGGGGGCAGAGGAATGAGGGCTTGAGAGATGGCTCTGTAGTCTAAAGTGCTTGCTGCTCAGTTACAAGGAGCAGAGTTCAGATCCCAGTCCGTGGAACAAGTCAAGCATTCCACAAATGCCTCTAACTATAGCTCTAAGGGATTTAGAGATCTGATGCCTTATTCAGGCCTAGTTGAATGCTGCTGTGTATATCCTCATACAGACATATGCACATAAATAAAACAAATATTTAAAGACAAAACAAAACAAGATGGCCCAGTGTCTGAGGAACTACCAAACTACAGCCAGGGTTATCCTTGGCCTCTACATGCATGCGTACTTTCACACACACACACACACACACACACACACACACACACACACACACACACAGAGACACAGAGACAGAGAGAGTGTAAATCTATATGTAGGCTGCTACGGGGGGGATTAGTTTAAATAAGGCAGCAGATGGTAATCAGAGGCACTGAAATGCACAAAGGTCACCAATGAATATATTTTCTGCTTAGGACGAATATACACTGATGACTTACTCTTATTTTAGACATTTCTTCAGCAAAGTCACTTCATTTCCTGGAACATTACAGATTATAAAGAGGAGAACAACTGTTGAAGTACACTTTTGGCAAGAAAGAGTATCTGACACTAGAGGGAGGGACCAGAAATGATACATCATCCGATGCAAGCATTCAAAGGGCATATCTCCCTTGATTGGTAAGTACATCTCACCATGTCTTTACTCTCCATGTGGGTGAAAAGGAAAAAAGCATGTAACCCTAGCTATCATATACAACATCAAATTCTATTCAAAATGTTGTTGCCAATGACAATGAAAGCCATTATCTACTATACAAAGGCTTCTGTTCTGACAAAACTTATTATTGCTAAGGTTTTGTCCAAAGAAGAGGCAGTTATAATGAGCTAATAAAGTCCCTGCCCAGCACTTGGACTTCCAGGGTGATAAGGGAAAGCTGGTTACCCTTCATGCTTTTCCTATGAACTATCCAAAATTGATCACACTGACTCACACTGGGCCCTAGTCCAGGCAGGACACTACTCAATAAAGATTATGGAGTTGAAATGAATAATCTTATTGTACATGTTCATGGAACCTCTGGTCCATTTGATTTCTTTAATTCATTCATCAATAATTAATGATAAGTAGTAGAAATTCTTGATACATAGGTCTCATAGGTCTGACATACTTCTCCTTCCCCATTTCAACACAATTTCAACAGGGAAAGAGGGTGGTAATAATAAGAGCTAAGGGTCAAGTGCTGTTGTGAACCACAATGACATGTTACTTCATTTGGGGCCAGAGGGATGACTCAGTGTTTAAGAGCACTTGATGCTCTGTCATGCAGCCCCAAGTTTGGATCCCAGCACCCATGTCAGACAGCTCACATATGCCTGTAACTCCAGCTCCAAGAGATTTGATGTATCTTCTGGCCTCTTTGGGCACACACATTCACACACCCAGAAGCACACATGCATAAGTAAAGAATAAAAAATAAAAAATATTACTTCATTTGGTCAATATAGCTACAAAACAGCTACAAGTATCAGTCTTATTTTAGAGAAAACAACTGAACAGAGTGATTTTGGAATTTGTGCAAGGCTTCCCAGACACTAAGTGGGAGAACTGATTTCCTAGAGGAAATGGATATCAGCATTCTCACAGATAGGATTGTTTTAAATTTATTTATTTTATGTATATGACTTTTGCCTGCATGCAAGTCTGTGTACCATGTGCGCAGTTCCTGAAGAGACCAGAAGAGGGAGTCTGATCCCTTGGGATTTAAGTTACACACTGTCCTGGGCTGTCACATGGTGCTGAGAATTGAACCTAGGTCCCCTGAAAGAGCAGCCAGTGCTCTTAAGCAATGAGCCATCTCTCCAGCCCAGTGATAGACTTTTTAAAGAGCCCATAAATGAAATGCTGTCAGCATCATGAGTCCCAGGCACTGAGATTCAGAGTCATCACGACAGTGTGCTTAAATATATTAACTCTCCCCAAACTGTCAGAGTTTGCTTTGCCCTGAGTTCAGATGCAAAGGGATCCAATGGCCCAGATGCAGAAATGCCTGATCATTGTATGTGCAGTGACTTTAGAATATTTTCTTTTAAAGCTGAGTTTCTCACAATATTCAAAATTGATCATCAGTGTAGCATCAAAATTAAAATTTCAAATAAATAAGAAAATGAAGTCAGCCACCCCTTGAAATAGTTTTGTGCATAAATAATAGTTGTTGCCTAAAACTAGTATTTCAAACAGAAAATTTTTGGTCACAAATGGCAGAAACTCCATTCCAACAGTGTCAGGCAAGGAGGATGCTTGTTCAGAGGCATGCAAACCTGGGGGCCATCTTTCCCCAGGTGCTCTCAGCTTTGATTTCCTTCCTCTGGCATGAGAGCTTTCCCTGTGCTGATGTTTCCATAAATGCAGAAGACAGCAAGATCTTCAACCTTCACCATCATTGGTAAGCCACTTTCTTGTTCCTCTTCCTTTATTGCTTAAGAATTTCACAGTGTATGTAATAAGTTTTGATTACTTGTACCTGCCATTTCCTTCTCTTCTGATTCCTGCCCTCCATTCTCCACCCCCAATATTCTCATCCAAGCTTATGTACTCTTTCTATACTAACCCAGACTCCACTCAGTGCTGCCTACATGTGCATGGCTGTCAGTCTATATAGCATGGGTAGCAACTGTGGAGCCACATCCGTGAAGAAAACTTACTCAGCCTTTCATAGCAGTTATCAACTGCCAATCACTCCTCATCTAGAGGGTGGGACTTTGTGACCCCTCCCCTCAACAATTTTGAGGTTTTTGCTGGTTCCATCTTGGGTGGGTCTCATGCATATAGTCATAGCCACTGGGAGTTTACATGTGCAACAGACCTGTCATGTCTGAAAAGCAGTGCTTTGGTGTAGTCATGCACCATCTCTGGCTCTTACAATCTTTATGCCCCCTTTTCCATAAGATCCCCGTGCTTTGGGAAGGGGGGGGATGTGTGATAGGGCTGAGCATTCCATAGTCTTTTAGTCTCTGTCTTTGACCTATTTTGGGGCTCTGTGTAAAATCACCACTAGAGAAAGGAGCTTCTCTGATGAGGACTGAGAGATACACTAATCTATGGGTGTAGAGATATGTTCTTGGGAGGGTTAGTTTAATACTAGCAGAATAACAGTGGTAGGATCTGTTCTAGGGTTCAAGACCTACCCTAGAACATATGTTCTTGGGTCAGTTAACAGCACCAGGCATGAGTTCTGTCTTGTAGTAGCTCAGATTAGTTTCTAATTTCCTTGATCAACCTTGGACTCAGGACCCCTCACTGACTTAGTCACTTCACCCTCAAGCTCAGATATTAGAGGAGCCCTACTTAAGTGTCCCTTTGTGGGATCAATTGCTTCAGTATGATGGTGTGACTGGGAAAGAGAGAGCCAGCCAAAGGAATACAGGGTGATTTGCTTTCTGAGGGCAAGCTCCATTAACCAGGTAGAAATGCCTGACCCCTGGCTTCATGTGCATCCCTCCATAGAAAAGGCTCAGTTCCACACGTGCTAACAAACACTGCCTTCTGTGTGGGTTATGTGTCAATGCTGTGCTAAACAGTTCACACATCTCATTTCATTTAATCCGCATAACAATGTCAAGGCAAACACTATTGTGATTTCCAGAAATGAGATATGTTTAGATACCATTTCAACTTGGCCAGCTATTTACACTAGGAATTCCAATTATTGAAACTAAAGAAATACAGACCACAATGAGAGCAGTACGTGTTCATGCTTTAGCCAGACTGGGAAGGACAGCAGAATACTGATAATGTAAGGTGTTGGTAAAGATGTAGGAAACAAACACCTGTTATTTTACATACATTTTCAATCATTCAAGGAACATTTGACAATAAATACCTATTACTATGAAATATGTTCAAAATGTTCCAATCAGTAATTTGGCCAGAAAAACTAACCCTTTATAATAATAATTATAAAGATAAACAAGGTAACACATATGCATTCTGAATAGTGGTTTAAATGAGAAAAATACTCTGAAGATAACTAAATATCCATCAATAGAGAATGAGGCAGATAAACTATGTCACATCACTAAAGTAAAACCCCAAGTTGTCACTTACATGATAAACAGCCATATTCTTGATGTGAACAAAAAAATCTGCATTTGATATGTTCTCAATTAATAGTAAAAATGTAGATGTGAATGCATAAAGAAAAATTCAAGTGGTGCTGGGTGAACAGTGCTACACTAAGCAATTGCCACTTTACATCACACCAGACTTACTAAAATTTTATCCACATACATGCCACACACAATGAGGAAGAAACGTGCTGGAAGAAAAATTACTTACAAGAAGCTAAGGCTTCTCTGAAAGCACGTTGTCTTCTAAACCATTGTGTGTCCTCCTGTGATTGTTGGTAGTCCCACCTCAGCCCCCAGGCAGTTGATGCTTACCTACTTTACCCTGTTCATCCTGGACATGGATTTGAGACTTACCTTTTTCGGCCTCTTTTTCTCCTAGAAGCATTTCTCAGGTTGCCTTGTTTGCTTCCCATTTGTCCCGTGTATGGGAGGATGGGGTTTAGAGGAGGAGAAGGAAAGCCCCTCATCAACAGTAGGAGCCAAAGGAAAGCACCTGCCCTAACGCCCTTCACAAGCCCCTCCCAACCAAGGCCACATCTTGGTATTTTTAACTCTGTGGTCTCCATCTGCAAATCAGAAAAGGGATTGATTTAGTGTGCTGCTGATAAACTAAAACAGAAAACATCAAAGTGCTTTTGGATCTAGTTAGTGTCCCACAGTTAAAAGGCTGGATGACTACTGGCCGAAGTGTTGAAGTAATTAGGAACAATTCTTATGTCTCGAGAATGATAGTGCAGCCAGAAGACCTAGCTCTTTCTAATTCTGGGATTCTTCCCCAACAAATCCATCAAACCACAAAGAATGCAGAAAAGAAGAGCAAGACTCAGACCCCTTAGGGTGAGCCTGGTTCAGATCCTGGAAGAGATCATAAGGACACCCCCTGATAGTAAAGCAGGATCATGCATATCAACTAATGTCTTAGTTTGAATCTGAAAAAGTCTCCCCAACACTCATGTATTGAAGTCACGGCCTCCGGTACAGCATCAGAGATGAGGCCTGGGGACATGATCAGATCAGTTCTTTAACTTCACTGATGAACTAAGACTCTTAATAACTTCTACCTTAATGGGATATTGAGAGGAAACTTTGTAAGATCTAATTAGATGAAGCAAGTCATTGGGAATGTAGCTTTGAAAACTATATGCTGTCCCCAGTAATTTCCTCATTCTGTCTCTTTCTATCTCTGTCTCTCTGTCTCTGTCTGTCTCTCTCCTTCCTGACATGAGTAGAACAGCTCCTACCTCCTCATGCTCCTCTCACCATGATGCTTTGCCTCAGCGTAACCATAGTAATGAGACCACCTAGCCATGGGACTTTGTCACGACAACCAAAAGCTTACAGATGGAATTTTTACCTGGAAAAAGGGACTTAAAAGATGAAGGATTGATCATGGCTCATGGTTTCAGAGGATACATCCCATGATAGTGAGGAAGACCAGCCAATGGGAAGAGCTTCAACTGTAGCAATGGGAGCCCATGGCAGGAGCCTCCCACACAGCAGTCAGAGCAGGAAGCAAGTTACACTGAAGCTGGAAATGCATATAATCTTTAAAGCATGCCCAAAGTGGCCAACATTAGTCAGCTAGGCTCCATGCCCCCAAACATTCTGTAACCTGCCTAAATGCCACCAGCTGGTGGCCACTGTTCAAACCAGGAGCCTGTGGGTGTGGTGCAGCTCCAAGCCACAACAGTTCCAAATTTCTAGTTCTAAGAATTTTACTTCTATTGGTCATGATAAATTTAATTCAATAGTTATATACATTTTGATTGGCTTTGAAAATTATAAATTTATAAACTCAATTTCCATTTGCTTTTGGGATACCATCTTACAAGGACTCTAATTTGTAGTAAGGCTCGTTAAGGAAGGGAATGGCTCAGTTACCTTTAGCCTACTGGCTATGGGTGGGATAGGGCCTCTGTTGGTCTTTTCTGTGTGGAACACACAGATTGCAAGCCCAGTGCCACTTTGAGATCTTTGGCAGCAGTTAACACTGCTGCTCACACATGATTTAGCCTGCATGATAATGAGTATTCAGAGACAATGCCTAGGTATTGTCTAGGGGGCACTTACCAACCTAAGACAGAGCACCTGTGTGGCCTGGGCAGGCGTCTCCATGACGGGTAAGGTGACCTGCTCATGTTCCACACAACCTAAGTCAGAAGCTCATTTTTTAGTAAAAGGGGGACCTGTAGGGTCCTGGCCCCCATTTTGGCTAACTGTTGCCTTGCTTGCTGACCTTGACCTTGATATCCTCCCTATGCTAATTCCCTGCCGGGTTCCACCCTCCTGAATGCTTAAGGGGAGTTCATTGTCTGTGTATCCTGCATAATGGGCCTTAACAGTAGGGAACTTCTGCCCTCCGGGGTTCTCCCATTGTGCTGTAAGCCTGTATTTAAGACCTCTTCCCTCCTTCAATAAACAGCATTCGGCAGAAAGAAAGAAAGAAAGAAAGAAAGAAAGAAAGAAAGAAAGAAAGAAAGAAAGAAAGAAAGAAAGAAAGAGAGAGAAAGAGAGAAAGAGAGAAAGAAAGAAAAAGAAAGAAAGAAAGAAAGAAAGAAAGAAAGAAAGAAAGAAAGAAAGAAAGAAAAGAAAGAAAGAAAGAAAGAAAAAGAAAGAAAGAATTTTCCTTGGCCTTTTGTTTCTGGTTCAAGTTTTGTGGAGTGTGTGGAATCCATTTCTCTTATTTAGAATAGTTTACCATTAAGGGTGTCACTCTCAGTCTAGGAATACTTTTCTCACCTCCAGTACACTGGAGTTCTTTCCTCCTTTTTGTTAAGAATCCCAGGGCATTTGTATTTTCATGAGTTCATAGACATGAACTAGGGAGATGAAATACAACTCTACTTTCACCATGAAGAAGAAAGGAAATAATACACCATCTTTAAAGAGTAGTCTCAGGTAGTGAACCAGGATATGTGAGTTAGTGTGACTGCTATGATGCATGGTAGGGTCAGGTTCTATCCATTATGCAACATCCAGTCATTGAGATCACCATGCAAATACTAGGGACAGTACAGGGACAGGTTTTCTGAACCTCTATGACTTGGACAGAGTAGAAGGGCCAGGTGAATGCACACTTACCCCAACAGTATCTTGAGATCAAAGATGTCCAGTATGGTTAGCTCTGCCTTTGAACTATGCTTGAGTGGGAAAAGACACTTCTTACATGCCACAATGACCACCCATACCTCCATACTTGTCTTCCAGTCTTTCATCACTTCCTTCCAGGATCCCTGTGTCTTTTTTCTTCAGCTCTTACAAACAGTCCAATCTAATATTTGCCTTCTAATATTTATCCCATTTATACTTAGTGTGA